TGGTACACTAATTTATCATGAGGATGCTTGTGTAAATTTTTGAGATCATTTGGAGCAAGTTCGTTTTGAGCTTAATTCTAAATTAATTCAAAAATAAATAAAGGTAAACCCTAAGTGTAGGTTTAGGGTTTGATCTTGATTTGGGTCGTGTGTGTGTGACCAGTAGGGTTTCAAGATCCATTTGGTCAAGTCCCATGTATGGTTTTTGATGGTAGGATTGCAAGTTGGTTTTGTTGGCTTGCAGCAGTGCAAAGTGAAATAAAATCATTCCGCGGGGTGTTGTTACATTTCATGTCTTGTGAAAGCATCATGTTTACATTATCATCATGTTAAAGCATTTGTTATCATTTCGTGTAGAACCCGAGAGTGAAAGCGATTCTAGTTGAACAAGTCTTTGGAAGAATACCCGGTTGTCGCGGGATTTGGTAATTGTGGTCTTGATCCTAACTGAGATCGCCAACGAAGGCAAGCCCGGTTTATGCATTAAAACATTACCTTGTTTACTTTGAAAAGTTTATCACTTATGTTACTTATCGCATTAAGTTGTTTAATTCAAATGTTACCTATTTGCTTTGCATATTGCCTACCTTGTTAATTGTTTACCATCCTTGAAGATGATTTCATTTACAAAGGCGTAGAATTGCTTAGTGTGCTTTGTGGTAGGCTTTCAAAGTAAAAGTTTTGATACAATCAAAGATGGCATCTTGGCCAAAGAAAGAAAGAGGATAGAATGAACTAGAGACTAGTCGGGTGACTTATCTTGAATGTTGGGTAATGTTGCCGACTATGTCGCTTAAAGGCCACTCATTGTGGATCTTACGAACGAGACACTTTATAGTCTTGGTCACATACTCCGGTAAGCCTACTTTGGCTAATCCGATACTAAGATTTAATGCCCACGCCTTTGGGAGTGGTGAGATGGCGGGAGAGTAGCGTGTACCCTCGTGGCTTGAATGTGGCGGATTTGAGGTGTCTTGTGCTCTCGGGTGGGCGTGGAGACGGCTTAGTATAAGAGGATTCGATAGCGAGGTTGATATATGCAAGATTAAGTTCTACATATGTCGTGTGATAAGGAATCCCAATGGGACTTGAATCAATTCGGATTGCGGTGCTCATGGATATGGAGACTCGATTCATTCTGAAAGCAATCTTTGGACCGGTGAATTACTAAAACATGAGAAAAAGAATGGAATGAGAAGGATTGGAACATGGGATACGAACACTTAGTTGGAGATATTGAACTAAAATACTTAGTGGTAAAACTTGAAACTAGGATCAAGAATAGTAAGCTTTTGGCAAAGAATTTTTGAATCTTTCTACAACCTTACCTTGACCCAACACCAAAGATCCCTAAGACCTTCGCCCTTTTTTGGTGGGTCGGTCTTGTTGAGTACTTTTGTACTCGAGGTTTGTTAACCCTTGTTGCAGGGGAGACGCATGCGTAGGCTTGTTTTGGTCCCTGCTGCATGTCAGTGTATGAAGTCGATGACGATGAAGAATGATGAATGGCCTTTGGACAAGGCACTAGTTTGTGTGAAATAAATAATGTTAATGTAATATTATCTCGCTACTATGGTTGTATGACACTTATGGTTATATAAGTTTGAAACAACTGGTTGTAATATTAAACTTAAGTCTTCCGCTTTATTACCTCTGGTATGTATATTGAAAAATGTTGTAATCTGCAATGACTGTGATTGGAATCCTGTTTGAAACGTGGATGATTCGGGTTTCCCGAGGACACCCGACAGACCTGTTAAGTTTTTGGAAACTTGTGTACGCTATCTGAGGTCTGTTGAGACATCGATAGGTGCACGTGGGCCCGATTTCTTAGGAGGTTCTGCTACACCAGTCCCACCGGTCAGCGTCTCCTTTCTACGTCGGTTTCTCACCACCTTTGAGAGTCAATCTCCATCGTTGATCAATGTCGGTTCATCCAACGGTGATCGAGGAAGTTGACATGGATCGGTGACGTGGCGATTCTTTGCCCCCTACTCCACCTCGATTTCTTTCCCCCTACTCTAACTTGGCATATATATAGCAGCCCCTACCCCTTACATAGAGACATCTTAGAAACCCTAATTCATATCTCTCATTCAGGTCAACACACACCATAAGGATTAGGTCTAGAACTCTCTAATATAGTAGATTAGTAGCTCGGGAGTGAGGGTCGAGTTAGGCTCATGCTCAAGTTCCGGATCTAGTCTCGGAGCCGCGGCAAAGCCTTGTATCTTCACTTCTACATCTTGTAAGACTTATTATCAATTTACCATATTCTTATCTACATGGCTATGCTTACTTTGAATATATATCTTGCTTAGTTAAAGGTTATTAATACTTTTATGTGCGGGTTCATAGAGCGCTTAGCTTGCTAGTTTACCGGTTAGGTTAAGTAGCCGAGCTTTGTGTAAGTATGGTGCTCATACGATGCTCTGCCTGTTAGTACACCATGTTCCCTGGTTATGTGGTAGCAGCGGGAGGTGATAGCCCCGTCTATTCTTTGTAGTCCACACCGAATTGAGCAGGTTCTTAAATTGTAGGACCATAGTCGCGTCAGTATAGTTATCCTTTGCGGTGCTCTACCGTCTAAGCGGCGTCCCGAAGTGCACAAGAATAGAGTGAGTCTTAACTATAGTCGGATCTATATATACTTTGACCATGTAATAAGAATGCCACAGAAATCTACCTCACCCGTTGCTCTCCCGAGTTGACTAGTTTATATTATCTTAGTGATCTATACCCTGAGTGTCATTATGCTTTATTCTTATCATTATATTCACCCTTGCTTTAGCTATGCTAGTATGTTGATTGGTAGACATTCCTCAATTACTCAGTAAATCTTTACTCCATTGTTTTCCTGTGGTAAAATATAAAACGACATCTGAAATACTTCATGTAAAATGCTATAATGATATTCTGTGCGCTTGCGAAATCCTTCATATTTTATTTACACTTATAAATACAAGCATTTTTGGCGTCGTTGCCGGGGAAACAATTGGCGTAAAGATTTAGATCATTAATATAACACTAGCTTTAGTAGGATTACCCATGTTCTGTTGAATTGTGGAATAAGACAGGACATCAGACGTCGTTTTGACATTCTGGCAAGCTTCCACAAGAAAAGAAAAAAACATTGAAGAACCCAGGGTGTCGGAAACATTCATGATCCACCAATACCGGAACCTGCTATCTCACATGTTTATATATATATATACACACACACACTCTAACCCTTTGTAGATTGGAGAAAATGTCAACGCCACAAGAATTCAAATCATATCTTAAGGGACGAATACAGACGTTACACCACTGTAACTTTGTTGTAGCACCACATTTTCAAATCATGGACTAATTAGGCTTAAAAAATTCATCTCGCAAATTAGTTGCAATCTGTGCAATTAGTTATTTTTTTAGTCTATATTTAATACTCTATGCATGTGTCCAAACATACAATGGGATAGGGACTTAACTTAGGCCCCGTTCGGCTTGCTGAAACTTGGCTGAAAAACACTGTTCTGACTGAAATGTTGTGAGAGAAAAACAAGCCGGATATAAGGTAAGCCGAACGGGGCCTAGGTGAATGAACTCAACAAGGCCTAAGAATTTTATTTGTAGGCTAGTTTCAGAGGGGCTTTCGTGCGAATTTAGACATTAAATAAGCTGATGTGACGTAGTATAGATGAAGAGAGATTATAAAAGTTCAATGGGGTGAAATGAGTTTCGTAGGATTAAACTTGTCTACAAACACACTGACATAAAACTGTCATAAACGCCACAAAGACTGGCCTCACAGACGTGAAGCTAGCTTTAGTACATGTTTGTGGAGTAGGGATTGTAGAGTAGGGTATGCCCATGGCAAGAAATTATTTGGACTGAATGATATAAAAAGTTCACAACAGCTTAAATAAAAGATAAATGTGTTCTATAACAAATTGAGATTACAAAATATTGGAAGAAAATTACAAGGAACCAAATGCACATCTATGAATTTTGCAATTGGCAATGACATTTGACATAACATAGCAAAGGCCAAATGGGTTTCAATTTTGATTACCTCTGAATGAAGAAATCATATCGAGGTCGGACAGTCGAACTTTGGAGCAAAGAACTGGAGCAGTCGCTAGTCAGGCTCGCGTGTTGCTGGCTCTTGCGGCTCGGGTCGCACTGAGCGGGCAGCTGCCGGGGGAGTGGGCGGCCCGCCGGCCGCCGGCCGCGTCGGGGGAGCGCTAACGACACGAGCGGCCGTGCGGGTGGAGGCGTGGGCGAGCGGCCTGGCGGTGGCGCGGCACGATTCCGCGTCCGAAGAACGGTCGAAGCTGCTCGCGGCTGAGTCGCTGACCTACCCCTACGGCGGCCTGATGGGTGGGTGCGAGTGGGGAATTGGGGGTTAGGGAGTGGGAACGCCGGATGGGCCATTGGGCCGTCCGGGCGGGTGTGGCCGTGGGCTGATTTCAGTTAGACGCGAATTACAGCCAGAAATAGCAAAGAATAGCAATTTTGAGACTTTAATTGTATTATACATGTATATACCTATATGAGAACTACTAAAAACTTTTCCAAAAATGTTGGGTATGCCGGGGAATACATACCCGGGCACAAATATGGGTCTGCCCATGAGTCAAGATGTTTTATAATTTGATTTGAAAACAGTGGAGTACCAAATATACAAATTAACGTAGCGGTCCTTGTTGATATATAAAAAAAAAAAGCTTTCAACACTCTTATACTGGCATCGACGGAACGACCTTTCTAACATTTTCTTCATTTTGTTTTTTGAAATGGATTTTTCTTCTTTTTATTTATAGTTCATTCATCCACTAAACTTCAGATCATGTCCAGATTAATGATCTTATCAACGTCACATATAACTCTTGTACACTTGGGGTACTGATATCAACATATAACTCTTCCATATTTCGGCTGCCGATATCAAAGATACAGAGCGTAAAGAAAAGCAAAATGTACTAAAAAAAAAGAAGGTAGCTTGCTGACGAGAGCCGTCACCGGATCCGGACGAAGCCCTCCCGGCGACGACAAAGAAGCACCCTGCACGGCACCACCGTGTCGCCGACCTTGACACCGGGCGTCACGGTAAAGGCGACACTGAGCTTCTCCTCCTCGTCCGCCTCCACGCGGCGATCTTCTTCCGCGCCAAGCGTACCCACGCTCTCCATGAACTCCGCCGCGTAGAAGCTCCCCCTGCCCGCGTAGAACATCGTGACACCACCACCACCACTCCCCTGCTCCGGCTCCGAGCATCGCGCCACCGCGGTCATCAGCACCCGAAGCGCCCACAGGGACCTCGCAGCGGCCGCGAACGCGCGGTAGAGCGGTGTCCTCGGGTGGCCGCCGCGGGACACGAAGGCCCTGTGGTCCAGGTTCCCGCATGCGGCCGCCTCCGCCTCCGGCGGCACGGCGGCAATGTAGGCCGCCCGGCAGAACGCAGAGAGCCCCGACCGCGGGAACTGCATCAGCGCGTCGAGAGCGTCGCGGGGCTTCATGATCCGTTGGAAGCTGCTACCAGCGTCGCCGCCGCAGCACTCCTCGGCGCCGACGAGCAGCATCGCTCGCCACACGTGCGCCTCAAGGGAGTACCTCCTCCACGACCGCGCCTGCTCGGCATCTGCGTCGTTGACGCTGACAACACATGGCTCAGTCCACAAAGCCGCCGCCGTCAGGCTGCTGCAGGCACCACCAAGCAGCAGCTCGGCGAAGTCGGCGACCGACCTCGACGCCGCCGTGAACCGGCTCACGAGCGCCGCGGGCGTCGCCATCTCCTTCGGCACGGAGATCCGCGCCCCGCGACGGCCATCGTTCCTGCTCCTGACGACGACCTGCCTACTCAGCCTGGCATTCTCCCGCTGCAGCCGCCGGAGCTCCCTCGCGAGCGCGGCGATGTCGGCGTCCCTCCGCCTCGCCTCGGCCTCCAGGCGCTGCACCTGGGCCCACCGGTCGTCGACGAGCGGGCCGATCCCGCGGCGGGAGGTGCAGAGGCACTGCAGCGCGGCGACCGAGTCGAGCTCGGACGCCACGGCCTCGTCGGCGAGGGCCGCCCTGTCCGGGTCGTAGGGGAAGTGCGCTCGCTGCAGCTTGACGTAGCCGGACTTGAGCGCCGACACCGCGTGGAACAGCCTCACGAGAACAAGCCTCGGGTCCGGGTCGGGGTCGTGCCCGGGTTTTGTGGTCGCTGCTGCGTCGTCGGCCGCCGGCGTTGGGGCTGCGCAGACCTTGGTGAGGTTGAAGAGCTTTGTGAGGCCGACGAGCAGCCCCGGGACGGTGCAGGTCGGAGTTGGTGGAGTCCTCGTCCTTATTGCTTGCCCTGGTGACGACTCCATTGTTTGTCTTGGCGACGGCTCCGGCCGGATGGCGACTGCTTGCAGCATCCAGAAAAGGGTATGATCAGATCTTTCTTCTTCTTCTCTGAACGAATGTGCATTCAGGAACAACAGGGTATGCAGATTGCAGAGTATACGCAGAAACATTTCTTTTGTTCGGCAGGAGAATGCATGCAGTTTCCTAGTGATTAGTAATTGATTGATTAATTCACGCAGGATTACACATCTAGAAAAAACATTGCAAGCAAGGTCGATGACTGAACGAGCAAGATAGATCTGAAGGGTGCTGACTCGAAAATTTTCTCAGGTAACTAGACAAGCAAAACGATCTGAATGAACCGTATGGATGGAATTGAACGCAACCACATGAAGCATATATCAAAGAAACGCCAGGCACAGAGGAGACAGCAACCAAAGCAAACCATTCATCAGGTTAGGCTTTATCTTGTCACATTATTAGCCACTAAAATATACTACAGCAGTAGTATAACAAGTTAGCAATAATAAATAATGCCAATCTGCGAAGAATTATCGGTTAATCATGGGAAGAAGAAAAGAAGAAGAAGAAGAGAAGGGTACTAACCTGCCTGCTGCCTGCCGGTGGAGCTAACGAACTCTAGTCTGGACTGACGACGAAGATGAGATCAGAGTGACAGATGCCTTTCGGGCCTGGCTGAAACTCGAAACGTTCTGAGGTTTCGTCTGGTCGGCGGCGGCGGCGGCGGCGAGTGGATGCAGGATTGGATTGGACAGGAGGTGAAATCGGAAAGCAGGGGACAGTGGCCAGTGGTGAAGACAAGTCGACATGGCATTGGGAACAACGAAAGCAAAAGTAAAGGAGGAACGAAAGTGGCAGGGAATGAACCCGAATGATTGCTATGAGCGGCACGCCTGGTTTGGTGTGAGAGAAAAATACTATTGTAGCTTATAATCCGCGATTATAATCCGCGATTATATACGAGCAGGCGAACAGCCTATCCATACGAGTGTGTTCATTTGGAAAGGCAGGCCACCTGCTCCCAAAATCATGATTCATGAATTCAAAAAATTGCATCTCCGACTCCATTCCCCGAACAGTAATACAGATTTGCTACTTCTAAGCTAAGCTAGGAGTACTAGTATCACCGTATTCCTCAGTCGTAGAAAAACTTTGACTTTTTAGTTTTTTATTTTTATTTATTAAGTCAAATTATCTTGAGTTCAATCAAGTTTATAAACAAGAACAAATCCAATAAAATTTACTTTTGCCTTGGGCTGTTGTAGGCTTCATGGGCTTCTGCCTTGGGCCAACACATCCTGCTACTTGTGTTGGGCCAGCGCGAATGCGAGCAATGAAGACACAAGACTAAGGCACTAAGCAGCGTCGAGTATGCTAGTTTAGTCCCACCACGATGCCCCAGCCAGCAACAAGGAAGCAAGCTTCCTTATATATATGAGACCATGACCACATCACAAGTTAACGGGTGCGCCACCCAGTCCACAGGGCTCCGCAAAACTGCTGGGCTACGGTGACGTTCAAAGTACTAACACATTTAAAAATATAAAAATTAATAATTAATTAATTAAAAAACTATAAATCACAATTCAATATAAATTTAAATTTTCGGATACTAGTTGGATGTATTCGAATAAAATATCCGATAACCGGCCGTTATATATATTGAATTTGTATCCGTCATCTGTGTAAAGTTTTCGAATTTATATCCGCTATATCGTCCGGATATTCTAAATATCAGGCCCTTCGGACGGACGGGTGGCCGGAAAAATCCGACCGTTTTCATCCATGCATCTCGTTTATTTGGAACGTCACTTAGAATGAGGTGAAGCCGAGAGAAGTCACTATTTTTGGCTCCTTTCCACCTCAAAGCTCTGTGAGAGTACGTTTTTAGGGGCTTCATCGGAGCCGTTTTATTTTACCCCGTTTGACACAAAACGACTCTAAACAGCTCGTAAAGCCGCTAGAAAAGCCTTGTCAAACGGGCCTTATAGTATCTATAACTGCACTCATCAACTCCCGGGAGACTAGAGCAATGAGTTTTGGTGTTTTTAAAAATATATTAAATGTTATTGCACTCAACATCAACCTTTAAGCATGAGGGGCGTCCGCAGTGGTGCCGTCGATTTGAGCAACTGAGATGGACATGACCAGCTCTGGGCCCAAACGTTAATCAAAGCATCTTTCTCCACCAGTGGCTTCCGATTGGCCATCCAAGTAAAAAAGCTGGATTGGCCATCGAAGTAAAAAAGCTGCATGCGCCTATCATGTGGCTTCCGCGCTAGCGCCAAACAAATCAAGGGCATGTTTAGTTCCCTCCAAATTCCTGAATTTGGCACTATGCAAAAAAAAGATTTCCCGTCACATCAAACTTACGGTACATGTATGGAGTACTAAATGTTGACGAAATCAAAAACTAATTGCACAGTTTGGTTGTACTTTACGAGACGAACGTTTTGAGCCTAATTAGTCAACGATTGGACAATTATTACCAAATACAAACGAAATGCTACATTGCGCTACAGTGCCGGAACAGTGCCGGAGAATTCCGGCGGCGCCGATTTTGCAAGGAACTAAACGCGGCCTAGCTATTGGGCCATGTTTAGATCGTCCGAATCGGCGCCGACCGATTCACTGTAATTGTTCAATCGTTGACTAATTAGTCTCAAAACGTTCGTCTCGCAAAGTACAACCAAACTGTGCAATTAGTTTTTGATTTCGTCAACATTTAGTACTTCATGCATATACCGCAAGTTTGATGTGACGGGGAATCTTCTTTTTGCATAGTGCCAAAATTTAGATTCTGTGGTAACTAAACAAGGGCCTATTCACTTTTTGCCTGCTCTCTCCACTCCACGTCAGTCCGAGCCTGCATCCGAACCTATTAATAGTTGGGGACGCCCTGATGTCAAGGAGTAAGGCCTCGTTTAGATGGGTGTGAGAAATCAGTATTTGGCACTATAGCACTTTCATTTGTATTTGACAATTATTGTTCAATCATGGCCTAACGAGGCTCCAAAGATTCGTCTCGTAATTTACAATCAAACTGTGTAATTAGTTATTTTTTTATTTACATTTAATACTCCATGCATGTGTCCAAAGATTTGATGCGATGGAGAGAGAGTGAAAAAACTTGGAATCTAAACAAGGCCTAAATGGGAATGTTGACCCCGTTGAGAACTCCAAGAAAATAAACGGGATTTATTATGGAACAAAACAAATTTTGAGTCTACAAATCTAACACCATGTTCGCTTGATCGTATCAGCCATATTTATTAGCCATGATAGAGTGTTATTCTCTCACAACAAAACAGCATCAACTGACTTATAAGCCACATAAACGGTCAAGCGAACAAGACAGAGGAGGTAGCACGTGTTATTCCGTACAAACACTAGTGAGCCTCTACTTGGCGATAATCCAAAAGCACAGATATTATGAATCCAGAAGTGCTCCGGTGCACCTTTTCTAGAAATCAAATCTTAAAGCAAAAGTAATTAGTACGTGGTTAGAACAGAGAGGGGGCAAAGGCTCTTTTCGTTTGTCTTATGAGCCGTACTATTTCAGCTAACGAATAATATTTTCCTGTCATAATAAATCAACGAACAGTATTTTTAACTATAGCTTTTTAGAAAAAACGAACAGGACCAACATCGTTGACAAATGAAACTCTTCGCTAGACCTTTTTGCATGACTGCATGCATGCATGCTAACCAATAACCACTTGGTTTCTTTTTTTTTCCTTCGCATTGGGCGCAAGATTTTGTTTGCATTGTCGCAACATGTTTTGATGTCCAGAATGCAAACCGTAAACCTGAGTACCTGACGCAAAGAAACACGAGGAAGGTAAATAAAACGATTTTCTTTTTTCGAACGAATGGGAAGATAACATGTGCAATCATAATGGGTGCGCAATTGAGCAATCATATAACAGGCCCAGATGTTCATCTTGTTTCTGATCTAGGCCTTCGCGTAGCAATTGAGCAATTCCATCTGGTACTTGTCAAAAAAAAATTATGTGTTATTTATCATTATACATATGAATTGGTTTCTTAGAAATGTGTCTATTGACATTGTTATTTCTTGATTGAAAAAAACATTGTTATTTTTGGGGGAAGTTTTGTCACACATCCAAAGCACATGTATGTAGCTTGCTCATCTCACGAAGCTAGGGTGCCGCTGTATATGGTTGGGGCAAAAGTTCGGAGGTTTTTCTTGATCTGCGTGATATTTTTTTTTTCTCGATCGATCTGCATGAGAAAATAACTTGTGATCATGGAATTTCATAACTAGATGGATAATGTTTATCCATTGTGTGCCGACGCTCGGCAACGCGTCAGCGCGGTTAGCGCTCTCCCGGCATTCATCACGGCCGGCGAGCTCACGATCACAATCGCAAAAGCAAACACAGCAGAAACACAAAGCAAACACAGCACAAACAGAACGCGAACACTCGGAGCACATAGGGTTTGGTGCAGCTCTGGAACCACTGCTTTTTTTATCTTTCTTTCCCTTTTATTCTCTATAAAAATTACAAAGAGCAGAAGCTCTCGGGTGGGATAGCCGCGCATCGCGCTTGAACGTGTCCATCCCCTCTGCGTCCACAGCCTATCACTCCATGGTTATGCGCGAGCTATTCTCGCCATGCCCTCCTACGCGCACGGCGACCACATCCACGGTGCTCGTTCGTGCGCATGCAAACTGTAAAGGAAAACATACTTGTTACTAACAGGGCCCCCCTCGATCTTGCGGCCTCCACAGTCCCCATAAATGCCGGCGGAAACGACGTGAATCTTGTTACGGAAAACAAACACACACGATCGATCGAGAAGCAAACCATGGCGGCCACCGCCGCCGTCGCCGACGCAGAGACGGACGGACTGCCAATTAGCGGGAAACAATCGACGACGACGCAGGCAAAGAAGTCGGCAGCAGAAAGAGCTCATAGAGCTGGAGAAGCAGTTGGAGAAGTAGCTGGAAGAGTATTGGCCGTCCTTCTCCTGCTCGGCCTACTCATCGTCGGCGTCGTGTACCTCTTCATCGGCGTCGCGCGCACCTGTTCAGTCGCTGGGAAAGGGAGTGGTCCCGCCCGTACGACCCCGTCGAGTACACCGTCACCATCGCCGCCGTCTCCGGGCTCGACCCCGCCACCAAGGACCTGCCGCACCCGGCGCCGCCGGCGCTCCTCCGCATCGACCCGGCGTGCAACCTGACCCTCGCTGTGGCGTCGCCGAGCACGGCGGCGCGCCGCGAGTGCGTGCAGGCCGGCACCACCGTGGAGGTGTCGTACCTCCGGTCCGGGGTGCCGCTGGCCACGGGCCCCGCGCCCGCGTTCTGCGTGGAGGTCGGGGAGCGGGAGGAAGGCTCCGTCGTCGCGTGGGGCGACGGTGTGCGCCTGCCCGGGTTCGTGCTGGACAGCCTCGCCGCGGACGTGCTCCGCGGGGCGCCGGAGTTCGGCGTCAAGCTCACCCCGCCGATCCCGTACTGTGCCAGCCGTCCGATGTTCTGCTCCACCACCGTGGATGTCATCTCGTGCTGGGCTAAGGCCGGCGGCGGTCCGGCTCCGTGTAGTGTCTCCAGAGAAACAGTACAGTCTCCTTTCCGCCGCTGCCACGGCCCGGCAGGGAGAGGGACTACTTGGAGGCTAATCTTCCACAGCCAACGCAAGAACTCAGCGATACGAGCTAGCCTGATGCTTGCAAGGCACGGATTCTCGACACTTGTGTGAGCTACTAGAATTGAGAGGCATGGTTCTTCACATCGAATGGATGATCCTTCATTTACCATCTTAAACTTTAGTTCTAAATCTGTAATAAGTTTTAATTTTGGATGTGCTATTGTAATAAGTTTGGACCGATGCTTCTTAAAAATGCTGAATCTAGAAATGTTCTATTATATTCAAAAAAACGAGCTAGCCAGCTATCTGTAGTTGGGTCTGTCTATATGCCACTCCAGTGTTTTGGCCCTAGCCCCACACCTGATTTTTTGGGCACTATTCATCTTCCTCCTCCAGCCACCTGCTGTCGCCGTTGCTGCTTGTCCTCGCCCGCGCCGCCGGCCACCGCCCCTCCACCCCACTGCCGCCATCTTCTCTGGCTCTGGCGGGCTCACCAGCCGCCATCTTCTCCAACTCCGGTGCTCCTCCCCCCGCCCTGACCTAGCCCAACCGCCCCTACCACCGCCTGGCCTACCTACCTCCCTTGGCTGGGCCATTCTATACCCGCCGAAGTTGGAGAAGAAAGAGGGGGAGAGCTCGCCGGAAACCTAGCCACCGCACTGGAGCTGGAGAAGAAGACGTCGTGCACAGATCTAGGAGGAGGAGGAGGAGGAGGATGCCTACCTCCTCCACGCGTCGTCATCTCAGCGAACTCGGCCGCCACCACCTCCGCCGCCCCCGCCGGAGGGGAGGGATGGAGGAGCTGCGTGGTGGGTGCTAGGGCACGGGCGCCGCTGGTGCTCCAAATTGGGCGGCCTACAAATCGGGTGTTGAATTGCTCCAAAACAACCCGGTGTGGTATAGCTTCTCCGTTTTAGTTTTCCTTTCCTTTCACTTTCATATATATATATATATATATATATATATGAGTCCTCTTTATGGGAGACCATATATATGCTAGTGAATATAAGCCCGTACGGCAGCATGTGTTTAATTTTTTTCAAAGGAAGAAATAATAAAAAACTTAGAAGTAGATTCGATTAAATATCTCTATCTAAAAAGCATCAAATAGAGAATTGTCCACCCGTTTTTCGCTTCGCTCCATCTCTAGGATCCCCCTCCTGCAATCACTCGTTCCCCCACTTAGTGCTCTTGTAATAGAAAAGGAAGCTCCCCAATCTCCCATCTCACATGCTGCCTTCACATTGCCCTCCCTTTTTCCTCCAAAGAGTGCCGCCCTTAGCTGTCCGCTATCATGAGCGCCATCCACCCAGTCTTTTGGTGTGTGCACCCTGCTTCACCGCCCTCCGGCTCTCCCTATACGCGCGACTCCTAGCCGCCCACCCTAATGGGTCGCCGCTAGGTTGGCAACGGGACCTGATCTCTGATCCCCGACGGGGATTTCATCCATTAGGGGGGCAAGAATGGTACAAAATTAATCCCTATGGGGACCTTCGCGGGCTAAGGTTATGTTTGGTAGGGCTCCTCCATGGCTCCGGTTTTGGCTCCTCCGAAGGAGCCCTACCAAATACTTTAGTAGGAGGAGCCGTTTTCCAGTGCAAAAAAGAGAAGTCCTTAAGGAGGAGCCCAGCCCAATATCCCCTAGACCTGATCCTCGTCGAGTGAAGGGGCTGGAACATTCCAACAGTCTCTGTCCTCGTTACCCATCGGGTGACCCGACTAGTAGGCTAAAAGAAGCCCAATGCTAAATGTTTAGCCTAACTAAATTAAATAGTAGGTATAAATACCTGGTAAGAGCATCTTCAAGAGTCTTTCTAAATCTCACTCTCCAAATCATCATTTGGGGAATCACTTACATAAAAATCGCTTTCTATATCTTTTCACCCTCCAACAGTTTTTTCTATATCTCATGCATACTCTAGACAGCTATTCCTGTCTTCTATTTTTGACTAGGATAACCATTTAGATAAACTGTTGGATGGTAGTTTTTTTTATCAAAATCTGTATTCCTAACATTTAGAAAGGATATAGAGAGTCTCTTGGAGATGCTCTAACCCTAGCACTGCCTCACTCCCACCCTTATTGCACGACTCACGGTCACAGCGGTCGGCCGCTCTCTTGACTGCTGTTGCAAGCAACCCAAATTAAATAGAAGGTATAAATACCCGGTAACCCAATTTAATGTAGGCTAAACTTAATGTAAGCAACCAATCAAATTAGACCAATAGTGAAATCTAAAAATATAATTCTTTTGTTGTTAACCTATATATATGTATTTTTTAAAAAAATAGATCATAAAAAAATATGAGCTTTTAACTTAGAACAAAACTAATACGACACTTAAATAAAAACAGAGAAAGTAGTATGCACGGGACAACTTGTCTAAAAGTTTGAGCTGAAGAGAAATACTAGGCCATTTTTAGTGGAGTTTCTCGTGGCTTCAGCTTCACCTACTGTTGCATTGTTCATGTTACTATAGTGTCATTATTCATGAAGCCTTTTTCCACTCTCCTTTCCAATAACTAGAAGCCAATGGAACACAACTATTTTTAGCTTTGTCGGTTTCGGTTTCTCCAGCTACTGGGTGAAGCGCCACCAAAAAGACACTAAGCAACATACACTTTCCCTAACCAAAAGAACCTGGTCATAATTCTTCCCTTGACAATCCAACGGCATATGCATCCACATTCCCCGCCGATGCCGTACTGTACCAGCGGTCCGAGGTTCTGCTCGGACACCGTGGATGTCATCTCGTGCTGGGCTCAAGGCCGGCGGTGATCCGGCTCCGTGTAGTGTCTCCACAGAAGCAAGTCACTTTTCCGTCACTGCCACTGCACGTCCCGGCAGGGAGAGGGAGGGACTACTCGGAGTCGGAGGCCAATCTTCCACAGCCAACGTAGGAACGTAGCGATATACAAGCTAGCCTGCTGCTATTTGTAGTTTTCCTTTCCTTTAATAACTTTCACATATTGTCCTCTTTATTATGTGAGACCATATATATGCTAGTGAATACAAGCAGGTGCGGCAGCATGTGTCAATTTTTTTTAAAGGAAGAAATAATAAAGAAATTTATGTAAGTCGGTCAGTTCATATCTATACAGCCAAAAAAACATCAAATGGAATTGTCCACCCATTTTTCCCTTCGCTCGACCGCAACGATACCTTGCGGACGTTCGCCTTGCATTCACCCTTGTTCCTCCCCCACGTATTTCGTGAGCTGTGCCATCCACCCAGTCTTTAGTGTGCGCACACCCGCTTCACCACCGCTAGGGATGGCAATAGGCTGCGATCCCTAACGGGGAATTCATCCATTAATGGACGTGGACATTACAAAATGATAACCCCCAAGCACTGTCTCACTCTCACCCTTATTCCTCGTCTCACGTTCATGGCCGTCGGCTGCCCTTTTGACAGTTGTTGCATCAACACAAATTAAATAGAAGGTATAAATACTAGGTACCAAATTAATGTAGGCTAAGCTTAATACAAACAACCAATCAAATCAGACCAATGGTGAATCTAAAAGCATAAATCTTATGCTGTTAATCTATACAATTTTTCTAAAAAAAATGATCGTAAAAAATATAAACTTTTGACTTAGAACAAAACTAGTGTGATACATAAATAAAAAAACAGAGAAAGTAGTATGCCCGGGACAACTTGTCTAAAAGTTTCAGCTCACGAGAAACATTAATAAGGTCATCTTTTGGTGGACCTTCTCGTGGCTTCAGCTTCACCTGTTGTTGCACTGTTCATGTTATTAGTGTGCTGTCACTTTTATGAAACCCTTTTTTGCTTCCTTCTTCCCAACAATTACAAGTTAGTGAAACCCACTATTTTTAGTTTTATCGGCTTTGGTTTCCCCAGCTACTATACAAATAAGTCAAAGCCAGGTGAAGCTCCACCAAAAAGACGCTAAGCAACTTACACTTCCATAACCAAAAGAACCTGATCATAATTCTTCCCTTGACAATCGAACGGCATATGCATCCACATTCAACAACCTTTTGATTCTAGGCCCAGAAACATGGGACACAATAATTTTTGGCCTCATTGGCATATTAAACACATGTGCAAAAAAACGAAGCACATGCATTGAATCGAACTAGCCAGAACTCCGAACAACTCTCTGTTTCAAAATATTCGTTGTATTAGCTTTGCCCTAAGTTAAATTTTATAATTTTAAATAAGTTTATAAAAAAATATATAGCAAGTTAGCATATATATATGACCCCAAATAAATACAATATTAAGACATGTTTGATATTGGATTTATCATGATTAATTTAATGTTGGAAATATTGGTGTGTCTTTCTTTTGTTTTTTAAAGTAAACTAGCAGGACCTGCCATTTATATATTTAGAAATAGGGGAAGTAATAAGGCTTGGGCCCAAGAAAAATAAAACCAACACATTGCACTATAAGGAGGAGAAGAAAAAGTATGAAACATCACATGCCTATATGATTGGCAAGATCTTAGCAAGGTGCTTTGCTCCTGCCGTGCACCAGGTGCGAGCCTCCTCCTTGATTTTGGCTAGCAGGGAGGGAATTGACAGGTGTTGTTTCTAAAAAAAATCATGTGTTATACGCTCAATCCAGATTTTCCACGTGACTAACAGAAAAGAGAGCAAAAGGTCTTTAGCAGGAAGCCTTATTGACTGGTAACCATTGGCCACGGATCATTTACCGTGGAGTAGTGCTGCCATTGGCTCCGTGATGGCAGGTCTTAGGAAAGCCGTACAAAGATCGACAATAAACAAACAAGCGAACAACACTTTCAGTCAGTGGCAGGACATAGGGGACATGTTTTTTGATTTGGCCAACCACGCTTTGGCCCCGTTCGGCTGGCTGAATTTGGCTGAAAATACTATTCTGGCTGAAATGTTGTGAGAGAAAACACTGTTCCGGCTGAAAAACAAACTGAATAGCGCCGTTTTTTGGGGTAAGCCGAATGGGGCCATATGAAAGCAATCTATGGTCCAGATTCGGTTTTGGAGGACCAGCCAAGCGAAGAAGGATGCGGAAATTCTGCCCTTAAGGGTTGATGCCCCTACGCATGCAACCGTTTGATGCTGCTTTGAGATATGTTTAATTTACAGAACAACTAGTAT